ATTCCGCCCACAATCTTTTGATAAGAGATTTACAAACATCGTTAACAATAACCTTCACAGTACTTTCTCCAAATCCAGTATTTCGGCCACTGTGTAGGGGTAATCTCCTCTTCCCAAAGATAAAGACAGATTGCCAAGCGGCATTCAGTGGATATAGGCTCTTCAGAATTAGTCATTCGTTGAAGATAAGGCCTTGTTTTCGTTTGAATGTAGTTAAACTTATCTCTTGCAACCTGGAACGTTTGTTTCAATCTGCTTTCGGAGTAATTACAGATAGTTTCCTACCAACCGCTATTTCGTTAAACTCGACAACAGGTCCTAGTCCGTTTTTTTTGCTAATGCTGTTTTGATTTTTGTGGCCATAAGTAAAGCTAAACAGTAAATCTGTAGTGTTAATAATCTTCTCTTTACAGTATGTAGAACATAGATCCAACTGCGTCTTCTTCTTGTACGGTTTAATATTTTTTGGTAAAAGAAAGTCATTAAAGCAAAGTTTGTTTTTCTTGTTAACGCCATCTCCATGTACCCCAGGCCTCAATGTTCTCGTATAAATTTATAAATTTGTCAAAAATTTGTCGTATAGTTTGCCTTTGCATTTTAGACGAATTTTTGACGAATTTAATTTGAAATAAATACGTCCAATTCAAATACGTCGTCTAACGCTGGCTTTAGAATTCGCTTTCCGCCTGGCAAATTAATTGTCACAATATTGAATAATCGCTGCAAGAATGGAGCACTTGAAGCGTTTAGGAAGTTTCAGCGTTAAGAACTAAAGCTTGGGAAAACCAAACTCGACTTGGAATTTCTCAAAACCCTTAAAACACGCTCACGATCCCTCTGGTTCAAAGTTACTAATCCAGCGCTTATCGACAATGCGAAAACAAACTACTGAATGACGAAATCAATTCAAAACATGCCAGAATAAGAGTACTTTCCGCACGGCCGACAAGAGCACACTCCAAACTAGCTTAACTCGTCTCCACTATGGACTTTATTCTCCTAAAAAACGTCTCCAAACGTGAAAATTCAAAGAAACTGACTCAGCATCAAGGCATTCAAGACCGCAAGTCATTTCACCTCAGTTCACCGCAAAACATCAACACAATCAATCCTGACAACGTAGTGTTTAACCTATCCAATCGCCTCATATTGACGAAAGAAGAAGAAATCCTTTCCAAAGGTTTGAACTTCGCTAACCTTCCAGCTAAACTAAAATTTTGCTCATTCCTTACACCATTCGAAAAGTTCTACTATCAACTCAAACAAGAACCTATTTATCAACCATCTGACTTTTCCCCTGCTTCCTTTAAAGCCAAGTTAAAAGATATTGTTACATGTTTGTAAATGTAGATCGTCCAGGTTGGTATAATCCTGAGAAGGACTGTTTTTGTTGTTGTTGACTGACGTTTAGACAACCTTAGCGGTAGTCATCTTCAGAGTCACAATGACTACCGCTTCATTTTGACTCGGAAGATGACTACCGCTAAGGTTGTCGAAACGTCAGTCAACAACAACAAAAACAGTCCTTCTCAGGACTATACCAACCTGGACGATCTACATTTACAAACATGTAACGATACTCTCGGGTTCAAACCATTTACTTTAAAAGATATTGCTTACTCTAGTTTTCGAAGCTATACTCGACCCAACGCTCTTTATACTCAAGACGAACTCAACATTCTCAAAGACCTTAGAAACGATAAAACCATAATGATCACAAAACTAGACAAAGGTAATGAGGTTGTTATTCCCAACAAAGACGACTACAACAAAAGATGGACGATATCTTATCGGAAAACACAAAATTTGAACAACTGAATAACGATCCAATCTAACTCACGCTTAAACGCGAAAACCAAGTAAAAGCACTGCTAATGAAACTGAAACTAATAACTCCCACTTGCACTAGCATCGCTTTACTTTATGAACTTCCAAAATCCACAAAGTTTCAAATTTTTTAAGACCCATCCTCTCTTCAATCAACCCCTATTCACACAATATAGCGAAGTTTTTATCCCACTTCTCACCCCCATCTCCGGCAACCCCTTCGTCATCAAGTTTTCTTTCTCCTTTGTTCAAGAACTTTTGAATTGCAGCATAAATTCCAATAACACAGTAATGGCTAGTTTTGATCTTACCTCCTTGTTCACTGATATCCCAGTACACGAGGCAATATCTTCATGTCTTTTCACAAAAAATCATAGTTAAAGAAATGTCCCTCTCATATCAAGCCACTCCTATACCGGCGATACGTAGATGACTGTTTCCTCCTTTTTAGTTGCTTAGAACATGCACCTCTCTTTCTTGATTTCCTTAATCAACAACATCCAAACATTCGTTTCACGTCCGAAATAGAAAATGACTGTAAACTTCCCATCCTCGACGTCGAAATAACGGGTTCTAATGGCACATTCTCTACTTGTGTTTACCGAAAACCTACTTTCACTGGTCTTTTTACAAACTTCCATAGCTTCATACCTCTAACATACAAACGCTCCATAGTTTCTTGCCTCATTCACCGAACCTTCCATCGTTGTTCCACCAATCAGAACTTTCATCGTCAACTTGAAGTCATTCGAAAACTGTTCCACTGTAATAGTTTCCCTTCCCAACTCTTCGATAAACTTGTCCGACGTTTCCTAAATAATCTTTTCGAACCTAAACCTCCCATGCACACTGTACCAAAGAAAATCATGTATTTTGTCATTTCCTTCACCGGCTCACACTACCTTCAGATTTGCACCCAAATTACTTGACTTTGCAATGCTGCTAATTCTCACCTCAATATTCGCTTTGTCTTTCGCTCTTATACACGCCTTTCATCCTTCTTTCCTTTCAGAGATAGAGTTCCTAAATTTCTGAAATCTAGTGTTGATTAGCTATTTAAGTGTCGACACTGCTCTGCGTCGTACGTGCGTCAAACCACGCGCCATTTACACACCAGAATATCGGAACATTTGAGTATCTCTCCTTTGACAGAAAAAACTTCATCCAGTCCAATCAATTCCAGTGTGATCGCCCAACTCAAAACCACTTATCACTCCGCCGACTTTGACGACTTCGACATTCTATCATCCTCTCGTAATGCATACGAACTATCCATCCACGAAAGCGTTCTCATCTCCAAGCTTAAACCATCTCTTAATGTTCAAGGCAGTTACATTCCACTAAATCTTATCTAATTCCATTCAACCCCACTCTATTCCTTAATACAAAAATCACACAACACTGTCATCACTATACCTTGTAATTTAACACTCTGTAAATAATGTATAATTAGTATATATGTTTTCTAACTTCCTACTTGTTTGTATAGTAATCTGAAGATGTGTTAAGCTAAAGATGAAACGTTATTGTTAAAAAATTACATACCCAAGGCCATATTAAAAGTTTTATGTTGGGTAATTATATTTATACTCAGATTTCGCTTTCCGCCTGGCAAACCAATTGTCACAATATTGATTAAACTCCCCTGGTGTTTTTTAAAAAATGTGTAGTCACGCAGCAGCTTCCAAACCTCTATATTGTTCAGCAAGATGTCTTTTCGCCAAAGCCAAGGTATTGAAGCCAAGGTGCTGTTCATCAATTCATTGATCTTGGTCAAGTCTTGTTAGCCTAGATTATACATTTCAACTAACTGCTTTCTTTATATCTCAATAGCAGCTTCTGTTTCACCTTCTGGAAGAGATGGGAGAGAATTGCAAGTTGACGTCTTCAAACTTTTTCTGCAAGGTTTTCCATTTGGAATTATGACCCATTCTTCCAACCGCTTTTGCTTTACAACTCGAGATGCTCGTCTTCGCAAGTTTAGGACTCGGTCTGCTATTTTGTTTGCCCATACTTGCTGCAAAAATGAAACAACGACATTCTATACAACTGAATCATGCAGGAATTTAAATTATTTTTGTAACCTACATGACCAGAACCAACTGATCTCTTTAAGAATGGTTATTTTTTAATCAGCAAAAGAGAAATATATCTTCTTTCGTGAGCAGTTGGTGATTCAGTATTTGCCAAAATTGAAGTAATCAATTGCCTGTTTAAAGCATTCTTTTTATGTGGATTTAAATCCTGCCTTCTTAATGCCTCATCTACTGCCGGTTCCCACTACACATAATATGACATATCAGTCTTCATTAACATACTTTAAACTTGTTGGGTATAAAAAATCAAGTTCTTCCATTCTTCTCACCTCCATTCCATTCCTTCTTCCTTCATTCCACCTATTTTCTTCTTATTCCTTCCATTCCTTCCTCCATTCCATTCCTTCTTTCTTCCTTCATTTCTTTTCTTCCATTCTTCCATTTCCTTTATTCTTTTCTTTTTCCATTCCACTTTTTCTTTCCTGTTATTGTTTCCTTTCTAATTTTGATATTGATGTTTCCCTTATACATGCTCTCTCTTCTATGTTTGCTATCTTGTTCATTCTTCTCACCCCTTTTCATCTTGTTTAGTTAGTTGTTAAAACCGACATGTGTGCTCTAGAAATAATTGCGTTAGTTGATGGAAAAATTGGAATCGTTAACTGGTAACAGGATACTTAGAGTTACAGTTACAAGAAGTTCTTTGTTTCGTTCCTCCAAATAAAACTACCATGTGTATGTCGTCGTTACCATCATGCTTTAAGAATAAAAATAAGTGGAGGAAGTAATTTACTTTTATTACTGGGTTTTTTAAAACTATACCCATTCCATTCATGTCATAGACTTGCTTGATGGAATGCTGTGAATTGTCTGATGACTTGCTTTTGTTGTTGAAGGTTTCGGTATTGATTTGATGCCTATGAAAATCCTCAGCTATGCATTGCTGACCCTTCCTGTGCTATTACAACTTTTCTTGGTTGTAAGTTTTAAGTTAAAGTACATGTAGATTTTAGAGCAGCACAGCTTCATCTCCAAGTTGTTTAAATTTTACATGTGTATATTTTAAGTATTGACTGTAGTCTAAAATTGGGAATCTTTGAATACTTTAGCTACATATCTTTTTAATTCTTATTTAAGATTCTGATTTGTTTCGAGTCCGGTCTTGTCGTTCTTTGGGATCTGAAGAATAGAATTGTCGATGAACGGTTTCAATCACCGCAGGTAAGAAAGTACGCCAATAATCCAGGAAAATTTTCTTGAAAAATTATATTAAAGCCTGTTTGTACTTGAAAAAAAATAATCAGATATTATTTATTACAGATTTCAAATTTTTTCGTGTATATCACAACAGATTCAAAAGAAACCAGTCAGTGACTAATGAATAATTATATAAAATACCCCCCAGCAATTAACATTTACTCCCCATCCTGATTTAAAGCAATTCTTCATGAAAATATCCTTGTTTTGGGACGATAGATTGCGATAGTCCAATTTATGACTTATTATTATAAACTACTACACAGCTTTTGTGCCATGGGTCGTAGCGGTTTTTTTCTTGAACGATTCCGATGAAAAAAGGTGGCAATCAAGTCAAAACATAAGTTTTCATTTCGCACCATATGATAAATGCGCTAATCAATGGCAGTGATATTCTTGCTATTTATAAAAATATAAATAATTTTCGGAAGAATTATTTGATAGTTTACTCGCGTAATGCTGGTACATCACATTTTTAAAATTTGCTGTAAAATTGTTGTTGTTTTAGCATTTCTTCCCGTCGCTTGCTATAATGAAGCTCGTTCACTTTGTTTGTATTTAGAATTCGTTGCAAAGTGCATCATGGTATTGCGATGGGAAACAATTCGTTACTAGTCATTACGACGGCAGTCTCTCTGTGTGGAATATTAAGAACCCACAAAGACCTATCGAAGTGTTCACTCCTCACTCTCAAGGTAAGCTCAACTCATGTTGAGGACAGCAAGCAAAAGAAGTAGGGGTGGGGTGCTTTTGCGTTCCTTTTAGCTTAAAAACTTGGTTTCAACTTCTTTATTCCACTTATTTAATCAATATTTTCTACAGGTAAATCAAAGAGCGGCGAGACCTTTAAATCAATCTGCAATCCTATATACAAAGTTTGTTTTGTGAGGTATGTCATTTTTGTCTGATCGTAAAAGTATTGCGAATTTGCGACAATAATTTTTTGCTAGTTTCCTTCATTTATGAGGTTTCAAGATGATTCGTGCGGAATAATTTGTGTAATGAGCTAAGTTTTCTGAAATATTAGCGATGAGTTATGAATTTCATGCAGTGCCACATAAAACTACTTTTATTCATCTTATGTTACAATAGTTGATATTCTGATGACGTCATTGAAAAAGAAATTTGCACTAGACTTGCATGTCATTGGTCGACCTGCTCAATATACGCATGCGGTTGAAAGGGAAAGAAATAGTTACTAACGTTGCTAAAGTCGACATGAACATTAGGCATAGTGATATGAGGAAGCGATTTTTAAATTTATAATCAAACGTATACTGGACAAATTGCGTCATTTAGGTTCTGATAATAGTATAGTTATAACAGTAAGCAGAGTTTAAAATAGCTGCCGGCGATAGCTGACATTGTTGCAGAACTAACCTGCGACTTTTCAAGATGAAGGAACATTTTTTGTATCAATTCCATACCCATAATCCTCGAATATAATCTTGAACTTAATGACTCCAGGGCTAGTAGTTCCTTAATGGTTAGGGACTCCGTTGATTATTTCCAAGTTTTGACACTACAACTAAATTCATTTTGATTCATTTATATTTTCAAGCAGCTAACATTTTTTCTTAGTGTTGAAGTACGTGCAGTAACGTTTCAAAAACTTATAAATTGCACTGTAAACTAAGTATAGGTTTAACTGCATTGTCGTTGTAAAGGCATCTTTTGCTGTGTATACATGCTTGTCTTTGCAACTAGTGCCACTTCTGTTCTTTCTGTTATTCATATACATGAATTTACATTAAAATAGGCAAAGCGTTCTCCTTCTCGAAGCCTTTTTGTCCGTTTTCTCCCCTCACAGAAAACACCGATTAAAATAAATAGCTGGTACTAAATGACATATCGAAAAAGCCTGTAATTAGTGTCTAACAACTTATTTTAAACCCTGGTAAGGAGTGAAAACGGCATCTCTACGTTATGGAATCGGATGAGTTGCACATTGGCAAAATGGCGGTGACAGTGACGTCAAAAGATCCTGGGTCTGACGTCATATGACGAATTCGCTTTAAGAAAGCACTGTATGTTACACATAATCTCCTTAAAAGCAAAACTAATTTGTCGCGTTACACACGTTTGTGGTATCTTGTGTCGTGCATCTTCAACGACATCCAATTCCAGAATAGAACAAGCGAGTTCCCGTTATGACGTCAAAAACAGCATTAGTTACTAGCTTTTTGATACTGCCGATGAAACACTAAAAATGAGTGTCAAAAAAATCCAGCAAATCATACTTTCGAACCATAAAATATCGTGAACTATGTAAATGGCACAAATGCAAAAAATGATACAGGCAATTTAAAATGTATGTTTTTAACATATATGTCCAAAAATATTTTATTGATGTTGTGTTACTAATCGTATTCATTCCCTT